TGTCTTTTTGTGGTCCTTTGTTGCCTCCCTGCAGCTCTTTGGTGTCTCAGTAGACACTTTGTGGTGGCTTTTATGTCTTTTGTGTGTCCTGGTTTTGGTTTTGTGTCTTTCTGTACAAGGTCATATCTAATTTGTAGTTGTTTTGTGCCTTTTGTGGTAGTTTCATGTCTCCTTGCAGTTGTTTTGTGTGTCTTTGTGTTGGTTTGATCTCTTCAGATACCTTATTTTTAATTTCAAAACACTGTCGAACCTGGGGCGCCGCTACAGCTCACCTGGTGGAGCTGGCGTCCCATGGACAGGGCTATAGTCCCCATGTGGAGGTCATGAGTTCAAATCCCGCTCATCGTCCTTTCCCACATGTCCTCCCCCCATTCTTTCCTGTCTCTCTCTCTCACTAACACTATCTAATAAAGGCACAAAGGCCAAAAAAATAACTTAAAAAAACAAAACAAAAACGCTGTGAAACCTGAACAGAGTTTGTTTGGTAGCCAGAGATTCTGATTTGACTTAACTTGCCTTCACCTTTCAGTTCTGCTGGTTTAACTTTCCACAGAGGAACCTGTTTGTGAAGCAGCTGATCTTCCACCTCTTACATATGAATCAGACGTCCCGCTGATAGCTGCAGTTTCCAAACTCTGTGTTCTGGTTCTGAGTCCAGCTTTCTGTTTATTGGCTCCTGGACTTCATCTCACTCCATTATGACACTTAATAAACTCTGAGCTGCACATTTACAGCTCTGGACCTCAGACTTCCCTCATCAGGCGTCTCTGGTTTTACGTTTACACCCTTTATGTTCTCATGCAGAGGGACAGAGGAACCATCAGCAATCAGAGAGAAACCCAGAAATGATCCGCTGGAGCCATAAAGCTCCATCATCAGATCATAAACAACCTCTGAACGTGTAGAGAACCAGATTTATTTCATGTTCTTTATGGAAACACTCAGACGTAAAGGATCCAGCGTTAAACTGTTTCCTGCTGTTTGGTTTCCTTTTGTCCATATTTTGGCTTTGAATCGCGTCGACATTCGTCTCCGTCGAGTTTCTGCCTTCAACTGGACGTCCGGATGGAAAATAAGCTCAGAGTTTCCATCAACAACTAAACCATGAAGCTCTGATGGAAACCAGCAGGAACCAAACAACCTCCACTTGTTTGTTCCCTCACATTTAATGTCGGCCGTTTGTGTTGATCGTTAACCAGCAGCGGAACATTCTGTAAGAACGGTTAAGAGGTGCAATAATTAGTGGATCTAAAACCATTTTTATAATCAGCCGTTAAACATTTTCTGGTTTTAGCTACAAAATGCAAAGATTTTTACTGAAAGTAAATGATGAATGTTTGATACCTGAGTCTATGAAGGNTAAGGTGTAGAGATGGTGGATGGTCAAATTTTGATTCATTTTGAGCAAGCTTGCGACTCCTGCTGATGGTTTTGTATCTTTTTGTCGTCGTTTTATGTCCCTTTGTTGTGATTTTACGATAATTTAGGATGTTTGGCGTCTCTTTGTGCTGGTTTCGTCTCTTCAGATGCCTTTAAGTTCCATCAGTTTGCCGTCCGTGACTTGACTTCACCTTCAGGTTAAGCCGCCCTCAGACTGAGTCCTACCTGCTCCTATCTACCAACCTTACCAAGTCATTCTTGTGCTTCCCCTTCAGGTCCGGGCCTACGGTCCGGGTCTTCAGGGTGGTGTTGTGGGTAAACCGGCCCCCTTCGCCATTGACACTAAAGGCGCTGGTACCGGTGGTTTGGGTCTGACAGTGGAAGGACCCTGCGAAGCAAAGATCGAGTGCCAGGACAATGGCGACGGGTCTTGTTCTGTGTCCTACCTGCCCACTGAGCCCGGCGAGTACGCCATCAACATCCTATTCGCCGACCAGCACATCCCCGGGTCACCCTTCAAGGCCGCGGTCCAGTCGGTGTTCGACCCCAGCAAGGTGACGGCCAGCGGGCCGGGCCTGGAACGGGGGAAGGTCAATGAGGCCGGCACCTTCACCGTGGACTGCTCCAAAGCCGGAGAGGCCGAGCTCACCGTCGAGATCATCTCCGACTCCGGAACCAAAGCCGAGGTCCACGTCCAGAACAACGCCGACGGAACCTACTCCATCACCTACATCCCCCAGAGCCACGGCATGTACTCCATCACCATCAAGTACGGAGGACACGTGGTGCCAAAGTTCCCGACCCGACTACAGGTGGACCCGGCTGTGGACACCAGCGGGGTGAAGGTCTACGGACCCGGAGTGGAACCGACAGGTGAGTGA